CGAGGGCAGAACTGAAAAATGCAGTATTTGAAAGTGGCGCCCGAATTGCAGCATGGCGCCAGTTGTCCAAAATCCTACGGTACCAAAGGAGGGGTTTGGAAAAAGGGTGCCAGGCCGAAAACGGGATGCAGCCGAAACAGCAAAAGATAGACCAGGGATCGAGCCCTGGCGAAGTCCGTAACACTGACAGAGTCAGTAAGATACATCCAGGATAAACATTTAAAGGCAAACAATCCTTTTTTTTATTTTGAAAAAACATATGACCAAGTCAACTGAGACTTCCTACAACAATTCATGGAAACAATGGGAATAGGCCCGAACTTCAGGAAATGGGTAAGAGTCCTATATAACGACGCAATGGGAGCAGTTCGGGTCAATGGCCACATCTCCAACAAATATAAAATATCCTGGTCAGTCAGACAAGGAGACCCCCTGGCAGCCCCAATCTTCCTCTTCATTATGGAAGCCATCGCATCCTGCTTAAGGAAAGACCCATCCATCCACAGACTCACTGACCAAACAGACCAAAACCCACACAGGTTCCATATCCCCCCCACAATCTTATTCGCAGATGACTTAACCGTCCTTATAAGAGCTTCTCCTTCATCATTCGAAGCCCTCACCAGATGCATTCCAACTAGCTTCCGAGATGCGCATCAACTGGAATAAAACAGTAGGCTGGTGGCTAACAAAAGAAGCCTGGACCCACCACAGAACACACTAGAAGGCTTGACATGGGCGAACCCAAGAGACCCTCTCGGATTTCTTGGAATACAAATGTCGATGCAAGGGGCTGAAACAGAAATGGCTCCTAGCCTACTAGCCAAAATGACCAGCAAACTCAACACCTGGGGGAGGATACACACCTCCCCAGATGGCAGAGCGCTAGTTTTGAATGCCTCCATATACTCGATGATGTGGTACGTTGCACCCTTTTGGGCCCCAAACCAAAGAGCCCTAAGGGACCTCCAAAAGAAATCAACAGCCTACCTCTGGACAAGAGACACCTCAAGACAGAACTTCATCACAAAGGTGGCATGGCAATATGTAACAAGAAAGAAAGACCAAGGAGGACTAGGCGTCCTAGACCTGGCCAGCCAAATAAAAGCTCTTCAAACCAAGTGGATTATAAAACTACTAACGAGAACCCTGACTCTAGAAGGGTTACACATCTTCCTACTTTCAGTACTCCAGACAACATGGAAGGTTCCTTCTGGATCCTAAGTAAATCATGGACCATAAAGAACGAGTCCCAAAACGAACCAAGACTGAACTTCTGGAAGATACTACTGAAGGCATGAAGAGAGATCTTTCTGTGAAACGTAAGAAAAATTATCAGTAAAGAAGAAATCCTCAGACAACCACTCTTCTGTAACCCATGGTTAACCAACAACGAGGGCACACCCTTTCCTCTCACAGCAAAGGACGCAAGGTGGGGATCGTGGAGAGAGGTGTCTGGCAAATCAAGCACATTTGGGATGATTCGAAAAAGGACTGGAAGACAGCCACACAGATCGGAGAAAAACTCAAAGGCTGACACAATTTAACCCCAAACCTCCAACAAATGACAAACTCCATCCCTCCGGAGTGGACGACAACCCTCAAAAAGGACAAACAGTGGTCACCAGGAGATTGGGCAGTAATGACACACACAAATTCTCAAGAGCACGCTCTAGCCTTTATAAGAGAGGAAGATGGCAGAAAAAACTGGCTTTCTTTCTCCATGCATAGCCTTGAAGAACCAGGAGCTGATTACTACAAAGTCAATAAAAACCCGTTAGCACAAGTTACAGTCAACGAGAGCAAACTTAAAAAATTCAGAGTAATAGAAAACGAGGAACTTGTTATATTCCAACCACAAACCACAATAGAGGATTTAGAATTTGACCCAGCAGAATGGGCTTGGAACCTAAAGCAAAAGTTCACAAGAATAGATCGCAGAATTAACCTGATGAACTATACCACTAGCCTAGGCTGTAAACTTAGAGGTAGATCAACAACACCGGATACAGTCGTATTAGACTGCTGGACGAAACACCTCGAAGTAGACCCTGAGTTATTTAAAGAAATCCCGTGGAATCAAATAGCAACTTTACACCCCCCAAGTTCAGCAGTCTACGATGGTTAATCCTATACTTAGCAATCCCGCTCAATCAATGGCTGAACTTTAGAAGAAAACAAGAGGATAGAAACCCCTTAAATGAGATATGCGCCAACTGTTCAGAGGGTCAACATGTTCCACTGTTTCCTCTAATGCCCAAAATCAAAGCCATATGGTATAAGATAGCTCAGATATGGTTCTCAACAACCAACACAAACTTCACAACCCGCCCTACCCTTACTCTACTAGGCTTCACAAAACCAGATGACTGGTCCCCCTTACAAACTAATCTTTTCCAAATCCTGCGCAAGTCAGCACTATGGTCCATATGGAGAAAAAGATGCCAGGAAACGATAGACAAACAACCAATGCACGTACGGGAAGCATGGAGTATCCTCAGACAACAGGTGGAAACGGAATACTGGATTTTATGGCGCAAAGTCAAGAGGAAAATGAAAGCAAATGCACCTAAGGCCAAAGAAATCCAAACCAAATTTGAGGATAATTACCTTGCCAAGGGCAAGATAGCAACCTTCAAAGGCCAGGGCCTAATCTTTACAATGTGGAACGACACAACACAAACCACTATTCCAAACTCAGGACCAGTGTTTAGCCCACCAGACTCTTTGAGCATCCAGATCAATTCCAGCTAAAGCATCACAGGTTTCGATACCAAAGGCGGACAACAAGCACTATCGACTTCCCCTCGGCCCTCACTAAACCCACACAGACCCCATCCCCAATATAAGGAACCACACAGCCGTAACCCCCCTTAACCCCCCCCAGACCCTTCACTCCCCTCCTGCACGCTACTAGCCCCATCACCTCCACACAAACCACCCTAAGCCCAGACCACCCTAGCCAAGACTCTGCACACCCGATCTCATCAACTATCCAACCCCACAACCTAGACCTACAAACACCCATCAGTCTTTTCCCGAGCCAGTAAAACAGTACTGGTTCCACAACATAAATAGTTCCCATAAAAGGAATCTTCTATCCAGCTAACACAGGAATAACTTAGGTTACGAGATATAGACCATAAGAAGGATTTTTAAGTAAAGGTAAGCAGGACAACTAAAATAGTTGGGGTTTAAGTTTTAGCACCAGGATGATTTTATAGAAAAGGGAAGATAATACAGGAAGGATAGAGGTTAAGCGAATCCATAGGCAATATCAACTAGACCTGAAAGGGTTTAGGGTTTATCAAGTCCTAAAGAGGAGGATCCCATCTACAGTTCTCGTATTTAAAGGGAATCTGACAGTCTAAGAACTGAGAGGAACAAGTTAGATGCGGCTTACCGTAAGCAAGTCTACAGGGTTCACAGTACTGGTTTCGTTTCCATGTCTTAGACTCAATATAAAGGTAATCAGGGTAACGTAGGCAGGGGCGTAGGCAGGGCTTACCGTACTATGCTACTACTATGAAAGCATCTCACGAGTCGATCACAAGAATCGAACGCGCGACCTCCCTCTTGGGAGGCAAACACTCAACCAAACGGCTAAGTGGACTGGGGTGAAAGTTAAGCCCCAAGATGAGCACTTAACCCCACCCCAGCACGGATTCCTCCGCGACCCGGTGTACCCAGTCACTCATTCTCAACCACAGGTCGTAGGCGCAGCCACCACACAATGTTTAACCGCACTGCAGGTTGCTACATATGCCGATACTATGAAAGCATCTCACGAGTCGATCACAAGAATCGAACGCGCGACCTCCCTCTTGGGAGGCAAACACTCAACCAGAGCGTGTGTGAGTCCTGTATGTATCTCCGTTTGACTTGTCGGTGGAATAGGAACCGGACTGATGCTCCCCAGAATGGAAAATGAGCCAGAACCATGTATTTTTTTTTTTTTTTTTTTTTTTTTTTTTTTTTAAAGGAATTTAATTTAACTGAGTGAATACTTTTGCCAGGGCGTGCTACATGTCTAGGCCCCGTGTTATTGTTGTTTTGGGTTAGACATTGCATAGTTCATTGTACACAGTGTAGGCTAGCGACTTTCTTACATTTTGAGCCAATTGTGGCTTGTTACTCTTTTTTCTCTTTTTCAAGTTTTCTCTATTTTCCCCCTTAAATGTGGCCTCGCCCTGCTCAGGCATAGTTCACCATCTTTCAGGTCCCCACAGGCATGCTCACACTCAAACCTCTCACATCAAACTGTGGTTGGCATACGGTGCACCTGCAGAAGGTGTGGCTTGTTACTCTTATTAACTGATTGATGTCTCCGTTGACTTTTCTCTGCTGTTACGGGTTTGTCAGGCACCTTCTGCACAAGTTTACCGGGAAACAGCAGACGACAGGGCGAAGAGGCTCTGAAATTGCATTTGCAGCTGGTAACTTGCAACACAACATCCTTTCCCGCTGGCCTATCTCCTAACCTTGACGCTCCCCCTCCCTCCCTCTCTCTCTCTCTCTCTCTCTCTCTCTCTCTCTCTCTCTCTCTCTCTCTCTCTCTCTCTCTCTCTCTCTCTCTCTCTCTCTC